CCCCAAAACCCCAAAACCCCAAAACCCCAAAACCCCAAAACCCCAAAACCCCAAAACCCCTTTAAAAATATTATTATTGAATTAAATTTATATTTTAAATTTATGAAGGCCCAGTCAAATAAAAGACTAATCTTGCACTTCAATATTGATAAGACAATTGTATGCAGAGATCCTTACAATGGACTTGACAATATACCCATCACCCTTGCAGATTGCGTTGCCAAACTCTGCTGGGGTCAGGTCACTGTTGAAGAAGATGTCAAGAAATGGACCCTTGCCTGGGATACTTTCAGCCATGAAAGACCAGAAGAAGATCTCATGACTTTCAGAGATTTCCTAGAGCTTGAGCATGGCCTGAGAACCGATCTTCTTGAAGGAGAAACTCAGGAACAACTTGATGAGATTAACAAGGCAAATAAGGAGCTATTCATGGAGAAATTACTAAATTTCTCAAAGCCAGGAAACCCAGGAAGTAAATTTAAAAGTCAAATTGAGAAGCTCAACAGATCTACTTATCTTCCAAAGAACGTAAGAGAGGAGCTTGGCCTCAATGACCTCAAAAAGGAAAAGGATAAGAAAAAGGCAGAAGATGAAGCTGAAGGAGAAGATAGCGGAGAAGGAGAAGACGACCAAGAAGAGGAAGAAGAGGAGGTTGAAGAGACTGATGAACAAAAGATGATCAATCTCTTTGAAGACCAGAAATATCACCTTCTCCCATCCTTCTTCAAAACTCTGATTTATCTTAAAAAGGCTAAGAGAGAGTTTTCAATTGTTATTAGGGGAGAAGACGAGTTCATAAAACCTGCAGTGTTTGAATTCAATAAGTTCTGCATAGGAGAGCATCCATGCTTCTGTGGAAGATCAGGCACACCTACTATCAAGTTTGATGGAAGCAAGAACACCAGATACTGAATTATAGATGACTGCTGTAAAGCGAATTTCTACAAATTCGACACTGAGACAAAAATGGTATTTGGAACACTTGATGCTGAGCATCTTGAAGATATCGATTCTCCTGATGACCTTGAGGATGTATTCTATGATAAGATAGACTCTAAAGAAAGAGTTTTAACTAATGATAGTGTAGAATCTTATGTACATCTCATGGAAATATTCAAGAAATACAATGGAGCTGCCATCAGAGAAGACAAGGATCAAAGAAGGATCCTCTATATTGATCCAGCTGACTACAACACTCATCATATCTTCTTTGATGCCAAATGAGGGCTAGGAGATGACTGCAGAATTTCTGTTAGAGATATCATCTCAGATGAAGAGATTCCTTACAAAGATGTTATTAATAAATTTATTGCAGTAGTTGAACCTCATAGAGCTGTTTCTGAGCCAGACTACTTCATGAAGTTAATAGAGATGTGTGAATACACCAGAGATCAAGAAATAGAAGCAAGAGAATCTGGAAGACTTGAAGAACAACAGATTCAAAAGAAAGAGACCTTCAAGGGACCAGGAAGTGCTGGATCCTCCTTTGTTGATTCTCAGAACCAATCTGATCAAGCTCCAAAAGAAGAGTTAAATGAGTGGGAAAAACTCCAGAATTTGCCTCATGATCAATACTTAGCTAAAACTGTGATGCCTGTATTATACCAAGGATTAAAAGTAGTTTCTGTAGAGCGTCCAAAATGACCATTGAAGACCTTAGCTTTGTATATGCTCAAGAATCAAGAGAAGGTAATGTTGAAGTCTGATACTTAATTATTACTCCTTCATTCCTATCATTGAAATTACAGAAAGAGGCATCTCATTCATATGCATTTTAAGGGGATACTTAGCCTATAACTATTATTCACAATTTTCAGTTTATTTATTGACCTGAGGGGTTTTGGGGTTTTGGGGTTTTGGGGTTTTGGGGTTTTGGGGTTTTGGGG